CATAGCAGCTAAGCTGATTACAACAACCCCAGCGACGTCAAGCCGCTTTAAACCCACCACCACCACCACCACCAAAAAAAAAAAGAAGATTTTGGGGCAGATTTTTATAGCAAAAATTAGTTTTTTGAGCCCAAGTTAAACATTCAGCTTGAGTAAATGCATTTTGCTCACATTTTGAGCAGAAAGATGCACTTTAATGCAGAGATTTTGCTATTATAAACCTATTTTAAGTTAAGGCAAGATACTACAGGCAAAAACGCTGTTTTTTTTATGCAATTTGGCTTTTCATAAAGGGATGTTTCTGACTATATACAAAGAAAACATCCAAAATACACCACTTTATTGCACTTTATCTATTTGCATCTCTTTAAAGATTTCTGAAAAGGCTTTTTCTCTTCTGCACTGAGCCAAAAATCTCCACTTCTGTTGCACTTACACCAAAATGACAGTTTAATCTCTATTCTTAAGGTTTTTACAGAGAGGTTTATCAATGTATAATTGACCTGATTTTAACATTTTATTCCTCAAAAAACAGTGAAAATTTGTTTTTCTGGCTGTTTCTGATTTATAGAAAAAATATATCCAAAAAACTTTGAGTCTATGTTAGAAAAAATGAAACCACAATCTTCATATTGTTCAGATTTTTGTACTGAAAAAATGTTAAAGTGCAATTAATTAGATGATGCCTTGTGTGCAAACACCACATGTCACATGTTGCATAAAAGCAACACATTTCAGGTTGTATGTCAATATGATAATGGTACTTGAACCTCACTGAATTGCTTACTGAGATGCATTTGAAATTCATAAATGCTGTTTTTTTATTTTCCATTCATCAAAGAATCCTGCAAAAAATGGTCAATAATATTTTAGCTGTTTTTAACATTGATAAAAACAAGAAAAGTTTCTTCAGAAGCAAATCAGCATATTAGAATGATTTCTGAAGGATCATGTGACACTGAAGACTGGAGTAATGATGCTGAAAATTCAGCTTTGACAGGAATAAATGACATTTTATAAAATAGAAAACAAATATTTTAAATTGTAATCATATTTCACAATATCGCAATTTTTACTGTATTTTTTGATAAGGATAAAGATAATAACATTTTAAAAATATTACCAGCCTAAACCTTTTGAACAGGGTGTATTGTTTTTATATATTATATATATTGTTTAAAAATATATAATAATTATGTAAAATATTTTCTGTGATTAAAGCAGGAGGAAAACAAAACTGACTATTACGTGATCAACTCAAAGTAAACTTGAACTCAAATCTATCTGTATCCTTAGAGATAACCAGACAATTTAAGCTCCTTTCACACATTTAAATACAATTGTGTATCACTTAAACATGATACATTGAAAACAGGTGAAGTGGTTCACAAACACTTGATATAAAGAAACGCATCATACATATTGTTTATTAGTGCTGATTTATGAAAATGTGCTCACAGTCAGAGATAATTTCATTTTTTTTATATGGATGATGTCCAATTGAACAGTTTTAACATGAAAAAACACATGAAATACAAAACTTTTCAAAAAGAGGACCTCATAAGTACAAAAACAAATAACATACAAGGTGCTGCATTTCATCTTTTTCTCCACCTGTGTGCTTTCCGTTAAGAAAATTAAAGTGCAAGACAAACACCAGGGTTCAAATATTTTCGAAAAGAAACGGCGCAACTCCAAACGAATATCAGATCCTTTGGAACAATGCTTTAAAAACATATTCAATACACAAACCATGCATGGACTGACTAAAAACAGATGGTTATCAGATTATAACATTAGACATGTTAGATGTCTATGGTAAAAATGGCATAGTACTGACACGCACAATAAATGAACACTTATGCAAATTCCACGGGGTTGATAGAAAACCGATCTCTCGCCACTAATTAACAATTCTACACGACTCGGTGAGATGTTAATGTGCTAGACACGTTCGCAATTGGTTTCTTTTGAGTTCGTCACAATGAAACATGAGAATTACCAACACTGATGGGTCATTACAACACACGCTCGTCACCTCGACGCACTCGTTTTGTCATTTTGGTTTTCCTTCTTTTCGAGGGCAACAGTTTTGAGAGCCTTTACCAAAGATTAAAACAAATAATCCACTCGATGCTTCAGAGTGAAATCACAACCTCATAAATAATGCAAAGAAAATGGATATTTACAGAGCACAGTGGTTTATATGAGGCACTATGTTGTACTGAACATGTTACATTTCTGTGGTGTGACATTGTACTTGCAACAAAAAAATGACATTGTTTGTCAATGGACTGAGGGTATGAATAATATATCCGTAAACGGATATAAATGATCATATGCCCAAATGTTTTCATGTTTATGCCCATGAAATAAACTGCTTTCAATCACTTTACAAGTACTTTGCTGCTACAGATCTGATTATTCACTCCATCATGCAATTTGTTAGATTCATATAAATCTAACGTCCCACTGTTCAGTCATTCTTTTGAATGTTGCAATCTAGAATGGTCGAAATGAATTACTTCATTAACAGTTTGCAGCTTATTAATGTAAATTACAAGTTTTCTTCTTAATGCGTTTTTTTTTTATTGTAAGTCTGATATTTTATTCCACAGGATACTGAATTGCTGTTGTCAGGATATTAAGATATAACATTAGCATTCAAAAATCAAGACTGCAAATGAGGCAGAAGATTAGAACTGTGCTCTGCCTATAAAGGAATAGTTTGCCAAAAATGAACTCATCCTCAGGCCATCCGAGATGTAGATGAGTTTGTTTCTTTATCAGAACAGATTTGGAGAAATGTTGCATTACATCACTTGCTCACCAGTGGATCCTCTGCAGTGAATGGGTGCCGTCAGAATGAGAGTCAGAACAGCTGATAAAAACATCATCATAATCCACACGACTCCAGTCCATTAATTAATGTCTTGTCAAACAAATGTTTCTTACAATGTAACTTACAAACATGCAGCTTTTCACTTCACAAGATGTTAATTGATGGAATGGAGGCTTGTGGATTATTGTGATGTTTTTATCAGCTGTTCTGACTCTCATTCTGACGGCACCCATTCACTGCAGAGGATCCACTGGTGAGCAAGTGATGTAATGCAACATTTCTCCAAATCTGTTCTGATAAAGAAACAAACTCATCTACATCTTGGATGGCCTGAGGGTGGGTACATTTTCATTTTTGGATGATTCCTGATTCTTGATTCCTTTAAGAGGGAAAAAATTCTAATGGACACAAATTATCAAAAAGCAACATGCCCTAACAATATCCCAATGTACAAAATAAAAGCTCCTGTAATTATAAGAAAGATTTCCATTAATTTTGGTTAGATTCAAACTTTAAACCTTGAGTAAATTAAGCAGCCGTGTTTATTCAGAATTAAACATGACATATATAGCACATTCATTTCATGAGCCTAAATGTAATTTATGCTGACGCAACGCTAGCAGGCTGTCTGACAGCCAGTTGCTATTTTGCCACCATTGTACCGTGGTAATTCTGCTCAGAATCAGCACCAGTGAGCAGCGAATGCTAAGTGCAGTCAGACTGCTGATTGGTGAAATCACTGCCATGTGAATCACAATCATTTGTGTTGTTAGTTAAACCCGTTTAGCTTTTTAAAGCACCATTACTCCATAGTAGAATTATCACCTCTAGTCATTTCCCATCTCACATATATTACTACAATATTTGAATAAATAGCAACATCTGATTTCAAATCTCTTTATACATAATCGGAGTGGCTTTGCTTTTAAATTAAGTGCCTATTAAACCTCTATTAACCATCAACAGCCTTTGTTGAGCTTTAACCTTAAAGGAGATTTTTTTCCCCAAATCATAGCCTTTTAATACCTTTAAATTGAATAAAGCTCATCAAATAATATTCATAAAACTACTATCTAATCTATTTTCCCATTCCATTGATTATTTACTTTCAAATAAAAAATATTATTAAATTGCAAATTTATTATTTTTTTTTAAATCACATTAATGAACTTTTGGCTAAGATCGAGTGTAATATCTGAAAACAACAAGTAAAAAAATATTTAAGGCTATAAAAAGAGCAAAATTCTCCTTTAAGACATGATAATCTACACAAAAGGATGCTGTTGTGGCTCAAGCTTTGTAAAATTTGTGTAAATAAATAATTAGTACATATTTCAGTTTAAATTTAAATAATATAATCAAATTTAAGAAATCTTAAATTCTAATTTTTTTTGTACATGCTTTTAGGGTGACCGTGCACACTTTACTAGTAACTAATAATAATAATATTCCATAGTAGCAATATAATGACGATGGCTATACATTTGGAAAATAAAACGTTTTAAATTAGTTCTGGTATGCTTTACCTATGAAGATATTCTTCTGGGCTCACGGATAAATTATTTACATCTGTTAAGTGTTAAATTACGTTGCTGTAAGAGAACGACTGAACAGACCTGAACGCAGGGGGCGGGGCTTTGAGAAGAATCCCGAAATCACAGCCTCATTTGCATATTTAAAGGGACGTTAGA